GTCTTGCCACTTTGGAACAACTTGAAAACGAGCGTTATAAGTTTCGGCATAATTTTAGGAAATGCATCCCGAGAGCGGAAGCTCTTCGATACCAGAACGCGCCACCGAAAGCGCTTCAGTAATTAGAGAGATGCAATTTTTTATTCATAGAATATCAACTTCCACAAAAAAAAAAACAAAAAAATAAAAGATGCCTTCAACTAAAAGAGATGGTTTTATTATTCACAACAGAGTGTACCAGTGCGAAGTTGACGCATTAGAACAACACTGCACATGATTTCAGAAATCATCCGGATATGATAGCATGAGCGACACATCATAATTTTCCACTCCGCTGTCAACTTTGTGTGTGTAATTTATTATGATTTTGCGGAACACCTAAAAAATAGCTACATGAGCATGAATCGACGTAAAAAGTGAAAGGTGAAATTTAAAATCGACGGGAAAACCACGGAAACCTCGAGATACCTATTCAAAGTATGCAAAACAAAAAACAATTATCAACAAAGTGATCAATAACACAAATGTAGATTTTTTAATGAATGTGCTATGCTCCACACCTCAAAGTCCCACCACGTGACCATGTACGGAACGCAGTCTTTTAAAAATTTGGCATTTAAGGCTTTTCAGGTTATGTATCTGTCAAAGTATAGTCAACGAAAGAAACAATATTATGTTTAGGCGTTTAAAATGTATAAATCTTTATATCATTATAATAACAATGGATGGTTTAAGAATTTAAGAATATAAATACTGCATTTAATAAAATTCTAAAATGTCTGGTTCCAAATAAGTAATATTTTTGTGCATTTGGTCCAAATATCTGGTTTTCTCCATAAAATAATTTTAACTAAACAGAATTTATTAAAAAAAATCTAGCTTCTCTATTATGGAATAAGAATATCTCTATTAAAGGTAGGTTAATGTATTATAACAAAAATATCATCTAATTTTGTAATTTTAAGGTTAGAAAAATTTATTTTGACCAAAATAAATAAGTATTTTAGATTATTTAAAAGACAGTATGATATGGTATTTAAAAATGTGGTAGTTTTTCTTATCCAGCTTAAAGTGTACCTACATAAAGTTTTGTCAATACAAATAGTTAAAAAGCTTCGACTGAATTTGATTTACATCAAAAAATCATTATAACTTTAATATTTTAATAAATCACATGTCATGGGAGTATTAAATATTTTTACATTACAAGTTTCTCTAAAAATTGTTTGTTTTCTTATAATCTAACTTAAAGTAGGTATGCCGAGAGGTATGCACAAGTTTTGTCGTTAGAAGTATAAAAGCTTCAATTTAATTTGAACCATATTCAACAATTATTTAGTATACCTATATTTATTTATGACCATATTAACACACTCTTCCAAATAATCCACTTATTTATTTCGGTTAAAATAGATTTTTCTAACCTTAAAATACAAAATTAGATGATATTTTTTGTTCTAATACATTAACCTACCTTTTATACAGATATTCTTATTTCATAATAGAGAAGTTAGATTTTTTTAAATAAATCCTGTTTAGTTAAAACTATTTTATGGAGAAATGTAGACCCAATGCACAAAAATATCACTTGTATTGCACCTTACACTTTGGAATTTCATTAAATGCAGTATTTATATTCCTAAATTCTTAAACCAACCATTGTTATTGTGATACTATACAGATTTATTAACTTTTAACGCTTAACATAAGCGGTAACACTATAAATATTATTTCTTTCATTAACTATACTTTGACAGATACATAACCTGAAAACCCTTAAATGCCAAATTTTCAAAAGACTGCGTTCCGTACGTTGTCACGTGGTGGGACTTTGAGGTGTGGTGCAAGCATATTTTGCGTCAGTTGTTATAGGTCTGGAACAACTAAAATTTTAACTTTACTTAGAAAAATCTTAATGATTTTTTTTTGTTAAAGATCAATTTCAACAAAAACCTCGTTTTGTCACCATAATCTTCGATAGTTTATCTTAATCGAAGAGGCAATTAATAATGCGATCAATAAGGCAGTTAAGTATCCATTAAGAAACACCAATGAAAGAATTACTAAAAAATCCATTAATATTTTTTTTCGGACTCCAATGCTGGCGGGATTCCTTCATTAAAGTTACATCTAATGAGATTTCGCAGGCATAATTAGAAATTATGGTTTCAAGTCATTTAAATTTTAAATTTATTTGAGCCGACGCGCCGGGACTGTAATACACCTGTAAATATCAAATATTTATGCGGTTTGCATTTTGGGGCGCTGGCTGACAACTCACCAGCTGATGCTTTATTTATAAATAAAGTGAGTTTCAAGATTTCAAATTTATCACTGTAAGAGCTTAATGCTTGTGCACGTTACCAGATACAAGATAAGAAGCGACTTTAAAGAAACCCGTAAATTTGCAGATTAAAAACTAAAACATGAAATATAATTAAGGAAGCTGTGTAAATGTGAACGCCTCCGAGATAATACCTGCAAGCAACGATTATGGAAGAAAATTCATTAAAATTTTGACGTCGCATTCTTTGTTTTTGCACTTTATCTTGCTGAATTAAAATTGCAAATTGCTTAAATTATGGACGAACCGGCGCGAAACAAACGCAACAAAATAAATTAAAAACGAGACGATTTAAGTTGTCAAGATAATTAATATAATAAACAAACAAGTCATACAAGTATTATGAAAATGATCGTCCCACTGAGAAAGATATTCAAATGAAGTTAATAGCGACAAAAAGTTAGAAATCAAAGAAACGGACACAGATAAAAGCTCAGCGGTTGAAGAGACACTGCGTTCGGTGCCCCAAATTGACGAAATATTTAACAAAATTGATTTTTTTATTACAGCGCCATCTATTACAAATATGAAAAAATGTTTTAGACAAAATTTAGGAGTACTAATATTTAATTAAAGTAGATCGTATCGAATTGTGGGCGTTATGAAGAACTAAAAGGAGTAAATAACATTATTAAAGTATTAAAGTTAATATGGTGTCGGAAGACGATAAAAATTAAGCTGCGAATAGAACGGTTATGAACTGTTGATAAAAGTATATTGCGAAAGTGTATAGCAAAAATGAGGATTTCGGGCTTTATTGCATATGAGGCAAAATGCTTCGGCGGTTAAATAATAATACTTGATGCTTTAGGATTATCATTATGAAATAATTGAGCTTTTTCGTTCAGCCGGTCTAGACTTTGTATTAAAAAGTTTTAATATCGGATGAAAATATGTGCTTGCTAAGTGAAGTTTTGTGTTTGTTGTCACATCATTTAATTTTCGTTAAAATTCATTTATTAAGCATTTTACTTCTTATTTTACATTATACCCAAAAAGACTGAATAAAGGTACTTCCTCCTGTATTCAGTCTTCTTGATTATATATATAGAATTATCTATTTATGGTTTATTTAATTCGCGTGGAGACAATATTAATATACTTAATACTGATTAAATTATAAACTTTTATACCCAAGGGTTGTAAAACTTTATGTCTGGAACATACTTTTAAAGCAAAAAATGATATAGAGAATAGAAAATTGTGTTAAGCTGCAGAAGTCAGCAGTAGCACCAGTCAGCAATCCCGAGGGTTTTATATTTATTCAAATATATAAGTTAAGCTTTCACGGAAAACTGTAAGAATTTATTTTGCCATCTAATGAAAAGGACATTTTTATTTCAGGAATTTATTACCGTCCCCAGAAGGGTTATCATTAAAGGAATGGTACTAAAATTTATGTGGGTTTACTTCCAAAGTTTTTTTAAAGCAAATGTCGAAATGTTATGAAGTTATAACGGTTGAGTGGGGAAAGCGGTCTAGACACATTTTTGAAACGTGTTACGTGTTATGATGTAAAACATTCGACAAAAAAGGTTTTTAAGGCGCATATTTTCCCTTATAAAATGTGATTTTTATCTTATATGAGAAAATTGCTTTCATTTCATTTGCATATTCTCAAAGTGCATTTCGTCTTTTAATGGAAAAACTTTTCGAGAAGACCTTTTTTAATATGAATGTCACCTTTAATTAGGTTTTACTTTTTTAGACAAACTATTGGAAGAAGTTAAATTAAAGATTTAAATCCTACAGTTCACCAAAACTAAGTACATTTAAAAATGTTCATGAAAATTAGTATACTGCTGTTTTATATTTGTTTGTATTTTTACCCCTTAAAAATGGACTAACAGCTGTTTAAATCCGTTATAGAAGCAGTTTTTCACAGTGAAAGTGAAGATAATGTTTTATGGACAATCCACCCGAAATTTGTAATGCTTTATCAGTTAAATCTACTTTGCTGCCGGCCACAGTTTAATACAAGACAGACGTGCATATAAACCTTGTTTTAACGATTGTATGATATTTTACAACTGTCAACTAACTTAAAGCTAATTTCAGCCCGTGACTAAAGGGCCATGAACCCATAGCTATTTAAAAAAACACTTAGTGTAATGGAAACATGTACGATAATGGGCGTATTAAAGGTGGGAGTAGAAAAATAATGTTTGGAACACCATTGATTTTTGAGTTTACTTCAGAAAAAACCACCCTAAGATTATTCAACAAGTTCACAAAAACATTAAACATTTATGCATTTTTTGAAACAAAGCAAGTTCTTGCTTTTGTCAGGCGGTGTTTTGTGTTTTACATCTTGGTAATCAATTTTCCATTTTGGCGTTTAAATATGCGTTGCTCGAAAGAGCCCCGTCAAAGGGAAAAAATCCCTCGCCTCACAAAGACACATAATTGACACAGATTTTTCCACATGGCCTTAGGCAATTTCCTTACGTTTGGAAAATTCGTTTTATGAACGACCGACATTAAGCAGTCATTATTCCAGATTTTTGAATATGTGAATAATAATCCGCCAGGATTTTCAGCTTTAAGATGGGGAGAATGTTCTGTTTCCATTGAATGTTACTACAACTTACTAATTGACTTAATTATAAAACGTTAATAAAACAATTTACTAAATTTTCTTTTCTTTGTGTTTCAGATGAAGTGGTTAGTCGTGTGCGTTTTAACGATCGTAGTGATAAGTTTGGCTGTCGCCGATGGAGAGATTTGGGAGGAAGACGAACACGAAGTCCTAATCAGAAGTGAAAGAGGAGCGAAAAACCGTGGTAAGCGTAAGTCGACTTATTTTTTTTTTATTTTTCCAACAACATATTTTGCCACCCAAACAGTTTTCATTTGATTTTAATTTTTACTTACATGCAATCAAGAGCAAATCTAGAAGACATATTTTCTGCGCTGGAACTTACCACCTACCACCTACAACAAACGATAACATTCTCTCCCACTGAAATCCTAGGTAGTATTGATACAGGCAATGCATTTATCAGATCTTTCTTAAAAGTGCTTTAGTTCAGTCCAACGTAGAAAGTGCGTCATTAATTGTGTAACGTAGTAAAAAAAATCACTTGATTTCGATCGACGACCCATTTTGCTGTAGTCAATCCCACTTCTGATATTGGTATTATAATATTAGTTTAATTTTTAATTTAACCTGTATTGAAAACGCTTAAGCCCAGCTATGAAAAGCAATAAACTATAATGCCACCGATGCCAATTCATTGCCTTTATTCATGAACTTTAAATCAAGATTAATATCGTTGTACGGAAGCCCGTATAAACGCCTTTCCCCTCTTCCAATCGTTTTAAAGTTATTTTCTATAAAGCCGTTTCCATTTACGTCCCCCTATCTATTACAAAGCAAATTTAAAAACGATTTTCGCTTGTGCGAAATCCACCTAGGTTTAGTAGAACCGCGTCGCTCGTAATTTATTCCCCAAGATAGACATAGTTAAGTGAGTAAATCATATTTCGAACGGGTATCGTCGCAACCGAACACGGAAATTGATATTTATAAATTTGGGTACCTAATGGGATTTGAGCCCCCGCAGAAATTTCACACTTCTTCCGCACAATGGGACCTTTCTCGTGAAACAGTCTGTCTATTGGTGATAACCGAATACAAATCTCTATTGTAGTTTCTTATATTGAAACAACAGACGTAACGGGGGACATTATTATAAAGTGGAGGGAATATTTTAAAAAGAAAGTGGTTTTTGTTAAGTTGGTGACACTGTGCGTTCCTGCATTGCCGACGTTAGCTGAAATCGGTGTGTGGCAAAACTTTCTGCATACCTAAAGAAATCTATCTGCGGTTTACACCCCATCGTTTTGCTGAAAGGGGGAATAAAAAGAGGTGAAGTAAAAATTATTTAACTTTTCCCATAAAATTTTTTTTGGAAACACAATAAAAGGGCGACATTTTTACTGCCTAATCGAGTTTATTTCACCTTAGCACTAATATTTTTGTCGTTTCATTTCCACGCAATTCCATCAGGAGCACTGGAAACATTGGGGTACAAGGACCTGAATAGAAATGACCGAACTTAACACTGCCGAACACCATAAAACCGAGCTTTACGATGCCCTAAAATATTAATAATTTCATCCAGTATTACTTAGAAGGTTTTTTCTTTTCCGAAAATTCTCATTTTGTTCCTACAAACATCGGAGTTGCATTCTAGAAGTCCTATTGAAAATCTAAAATAATTGTAAGCCAGCTTTAATAATTTCTAGTTAAAGACGTTTTTGCTTTCGCAGTACGAAAGTATCACTTGTACCCGACAGACGTATATCTCGTATTACTCCACAAACGAAACAGAAAAAACAGTGCATTTTAAATCCAGAATATCTAAAAGGTAATTATTCTATAAGGTTTCGTTCAACAGTGTATAGTAGTGTAATCCCAATGTGCATTAACACCTCACTGACATTCCCCTGAACAGGTGGTTCGTTGTGGTGGGAAACTAAAAGAGATCAATCACGAGGAAAGAAGGGGTATCTGCGAAATTCGGATAAGTACTACTAATATTTGCACAACAACAAAAATAAACCAACATCTTAATAGACCAAAGAATACCTAATGCTTATTTAGTAAAGCAAGTTCGACTTAAAATTGAAAACAAGGACGTGACTTTAAAAGTACTAATTAACCCATAAATCTTAAGTAAGTTAGACATACATACATCTTACACTCATACTCATAGACTTTTTTGCTTTCCCAAATAACGGAGTTGCATTCTCATTGATTATAAGGAAGGATAAGGATTTATCCTGGGAATAAATAATGGCCCAATCTCCGTAATACCTTTAAATTAAATTAAAAAAGTAAAAGAAGCGTTTTGTTATTTTCAGTTAAAGGCTTCGTTTTGTCAATGCGAAGATTGTCTTGAACGGTCTCGGCAGGTTTGTTTTGCACACTGGCACGGAATGCTTAAATTACTTTAGACAAAAGTGGGATTTATTTAATCCAGGGCTTTGTGTTGAGTTTAATACTGTCCATGTTGTGTTATGGCTTAACTCGAACAATATTAGGATTAAATAGTATTGTCCGCGATGCGCTAATAAACAGTTTAACAGTAAGGAAGCGCTCATAATTGCCTTTAAATTAAGATGAACATGCCAGTAGTTTCAAATCAAACTAGCTTGTTATCGTTTATTTTATCCAGAAAAGCGCCCTATTTGAGTTTGTAACTTGGTTTAAGTGAGTTTTGATAGAAATAATAAGCTTAGAGACATTTTATGTGCCGACATTTGCACGCTTGCATTTGCACAAAATGGATGTGGTTGCATTTTCTTTGTAAGTATGAGGAAAGGATGAAGTAAAAACCGTTCGTCCTTCTAGTAATTGAAAATTAGCAAAGGATTTATTACGCGGGTCGATCGATCCGGGCCAGTAATGGAATTTTTACTGCAGCCTGCAGCCTGTCTTTTCGTCCTGCTATTCCTGCATTCGTCATATCCACTGACCGTTGTTTTTGTCTTTTTCATCCTCCCGAATGCATGTCTTCCAAAAGAAATATGTGGCACTTTTGGTTTTATGTTTTTGGAAACACAAAAATGAAAACGATTTAACATTTTTGTTTATTCTAAACAATTAAGCTTGATGGTATCACTTTAACGCAAAAGTGATCCAATATTTTGCTTAAATTTTATTTTTGCGAAGGCAATGTGCACATTTAATTGATTACTCGTTAGAAAAGTGGATTTTCAGCTCTAATTCCAATCTAATCCAACTGAAGAAGAAAATACTGTTTAACGTTATTGGTTCAATTTTTCCTTCAATAGATTGTTGAAGTTTAAAACAATATGAGTATGAGTATGAGTATGAGTATGGGAACGTATGGCAAGCCCCAGATATATTGTCATCCACTGATCTCCCGGGGTTATATTACCCCCTTTCCGTTCTCCTGCGTATCCCGCCAAATCACAGCATTACCTGTGTTTGTTGGATCCGAAGTTTTTACGCCGGCTGGTAGATCCACCCTAGGAGTTCGTGGATGACAGTGTCAAAGGTTAAGGCAGCTCCCGGGATTTTTGTCAGCCGGGTCGGGCCATACGTCCAGTTTAGGAAGGGTTTTTGGAGGACATTGAACTGACCCAAAACTACCCTAGTAGAAATTTAAATGGGGAACTAGTAGGGCGCTAGCTAGTTTTCCCCAAATGAAACGAGGGCCTCGCCAGGAATCCCTACCAGTTTCTGACTAGTCATATAATGCTTTTCCTGGTGGGGAACTACTGGGGAAAAGCTGGTAGGGAAAACTAGCTTAAAACTGGTTGGGAATATTTGTGAATTTTTTAACCAATAATAAATGCCAGTAGCAAAATTTTTTTTATTAGATTTAAATATATTTACATTTTCACTTTTTTTAATCTTTCGGTTCTGCCCCCACTCTAGTCTTTGGAAGCTTAAAGCTTTTTCGAACTCTTTTGCCGTAAGCCTTTGTTTATCCGGTAGTTTTTGTCCATCAATGAAACCTAAATGTTAAGGCAATAATTAATAATTATTCAAAAATGTTGGGTTGTAGTCCACATTTCATTTTGCATTCAATCGAAATCAAATAAAATTTTAAGGGAAGTTACCTGAATATTTGCGTTAAATTTAATGATATTTAAATGCAATGCATTTTTATTGGACTGTATCTAAACGCATTATTTTCGACTATTAAACTGGACTAGTATTAAGTGATAAATGTATCGTACTTTTTATACTGTTTGCGAAATGTGAATAGTGTCTGTATTTCCTGTTTCAGATCAATTACTTTACACATGTCGTCACTTAAGGGTGGAATTGTATCTAATGCCAGTGGATCCTGGGGGGTGTTTGAAGGGATAATATTATTAAAATTTGGTGACTCACCTAAAATATCCCATAAAACTTTAGAACTTTTGGTTGGGATAAATTTAAGCACAATACTGTAATTAAATGCTAGAAAGGACAGGCATACGACGTCTAAAATAACTAACCTTTAATACGGAAGGATTTGAAGGTACCTCCGTACAAAATAATAGGTGAACAAACCGTTCTTGATCTGCCGCCATTTTAGCGGCTTTGAATTTGCGTCTTGTCTCCCTTAATTTACGTCGTAAATTTTACTTTTCCTCTTCAGAGCTGCTTGAGGAAGTAGTAACGGGCGAGTGTTTCTTGATAAATCTAGCACAATTTTTCTAAAAACTTAAGTATTGATTCAACAAACGTGGTTACCATAAAGCGCAAAAAAGAATGACATAACTTATGTCACATAAGCAGGTCTACCAACATCGTCATAAGCAGGTCTACCAACTTCGATAGGTAGGTATTAGAAATTTATTTATTATCTGTAAAATCGTGGTGCCATCTAGTGAGACAGGACGCAATTATAATAAAAGTTATTTGAAATATTAACAAATTGTGTTTGTCCATTTGATTTCTACAGGCATGTTAAATATACACCCTCATCTTAAATCTCACCCAAAAAATCTTAATCTTAAATTTTTTCCCAGTTTAACTTAAGTTAAAGGTGTTTAATTAAACAACTTTTATCTTTGAAACAAAGACGCATCTCAAAATCATAATTCCTTAAATTTTTGTCCGAGAGAAGCCTTGTAAATCAAATATATTTAAATTGTAAAACGTTTAATACATACATATCGATCGATACGAATGGAATGTTAAGATTGATCTTAAAGATTTTCCATACATTTACTTACAAGTTTATGGCGAGGAAAACTTGACTCAGCCTAGACTGGGATTTAATGAGGGAAACTAGATGTGAACTAGTCAGTCGGAGCCGAGCCACAACTAGGCAAGTTTTACTGGTTAGTTCCTAGTCGGGGCCGATCTAGGATTTCCCTTTCTAGTTTTTCCCTATCTAAATCCAACCAGCGCCCTACCAGTAATGAGGAAAACTGGACAAATTTCTACTAGGGTAAGTACAATCCGGAATCCTCCTCAACCTAGGCCTTAGTAGTACCCCCATTCAATTGGTATTCGTGAATGGGGGGTGGGTATGTTAGTTAGTTTCTTACTCCTA